GTACCCGCTGCCAGGGCCTCTCCGGCCAACGCCATGGACGTATCGGTCCGGGAGATTTTTGCCTTTGGTATTTCTGACATTGTTCGCAGTTTTTCAGCAGCCGCTCTATATCCTGGTCAATGTTCGGCCACCAACAGTAACCACGTGCCAGCGCCTTCATCCTGTTCACGCCGGGGTGTGCGTCATGCAGCTCTCTCAGCAACTGGGGCCGTAGTTCTTCTGGTGGAACTATGCGCGAGCCTCGAAATATACAGCCGTCGTATAGACTCAACTCATTACTCCGACAGGCGAATGGTTTCAGTTCGTCTGACGTGCTTGTAGGCCATCCGGTCATCAAGAACCGTTTCACCATCGACAACACAGGGTCCCGGTCCGTCAGGCGCCGCACCACGTCACTCCGGATGGGTGTCTTTTCAAGGTGTTGCATCAAATTGATAAACTCCATGGGTTCACTATTCGTTTTTGTGCCATGCTGCTGCGGGAGGCGACTAAGTGCATCGGCAATGGTATTACTTGGTCCGTTTACATACTGAAGTTTGTAGTTATAGGCGCTCAAAAGTAGTGCCCACCTTTGCATTCGAGGCGAAGACATCTGTTGGATTCCTTTCTCCTCACCCAGAAGCGAAAGAAGTGGTTTATGGTCGGTGTGGATATCAAACTGTCTTCCCCAGACGTACTGGTGGAAATGCTTGACTCCGAAAATAATCGCTAAGGCCTCTCTGTCCAGTTGGGAGTAATTCCTTTCAGCGGGTTGCAGGGTACGAGAAGCAAAAGCGATTGGACGAAGAGAACCGTCATCCGTCCGGTGGCAAAGGACTGCGCCTACTCCGCGTGGGGAAGCATCACACTGCAGCACTAGAGGCCGGCTCGGATCGAAATGCACGAGATACGGGGAGGCGCTGAGCACCCTTTTTGCATCTGTGAAGGCCTTTCTTTGATCCGGACCCCAAGTCCAGGACTTCCCCTTGTGCAACAGTTCGTACAAGGGTGCAAATACTGTTGAGGCGTTAGGTAAGAAGCGACGATAGTGAGAAAACATTCCTAAAAACGATCGGAGTTCAGCTTCATTCTTGGGTTCAGGTGCGACAAGGATGGGCTTTACTTTGTCTTCTAACACGTGTAATCCGTTTTTATCGAGACGGTAACCAAGGTAACGAACAGAATCTGAGAAAAACGTACTCTTGGACTTCTTCAGTTTGAGTCCACTCTGTTGTAGACGTTCGAGCACAGTGGATAGCGTTTGTAAATGTTCAGCATCTGTACGTCCTGTAATTAGAATGTCGTCAAGATAGGCGCAAGTGAAAGGAATATCTTTGATCAGGTTGTCAATGATCCTTTGGAATATCGCTGGGGCCGAACTGATTCCGAAGGGCAGACGTTTGTACTGGAATAGACCCATGTGTGTACTTATCGTAGTGCATGAGCAGAGGTCTCGTCTAACTCAATTTGTAAGTACGCGTGACTGAGGTCGATCTGTGTAAACTTTTGTCCGCCTGCCAGCGTAGCATACAGATCCTCTATCCGAGGTAAGGGATACTTATCCAGAATTAAACAACGATTAACAGTTAGTTTATAGTCACCACAAATACGCACAGAACCATCCGGCTTCAGGACTGGAACTATTGGAGCTCCCCACTCACTGTATTGGACTGGCTCGATTGTTCCTGCTGATTGCAATCTCTTTATCTCGTCTTCCACCTTTGATCTCAGGGAATAAGGTAGGGTACGTGCCCTGAAAAAACTGAGGCTGAGTTCCCGGCCGTAATTTGTTACTAGCCTGATATCCGTACAATTTTCATAGTTTCTCATCAAAAACTTCTGAATATTTGTTGATCACATCCCCAAGCGCTGGTTAATGGACATGAACTTCACTGTCTCTAGCGTGGCCGGAAGGCATCTAATTCAGTCGCTTCCGAGTAAGTTCGGACAATCATTCGCCACAACATATGACTGTAAAGACCGTTTCTCCCAATGGTATTTTACATGAATAGTGCATTTTCCAATGACTGGTATCGGCTGAGCAGTGTAAGTGCGCAAACTTGATTCACAGGTGGATAAGTTGGGTACTCTTTTAACTTAGGCAGTACTGATTATGGGAGCTGAGGCACCGGTATCAACTTCCATTACAACCAACTAGTCTTCTATTTCCAGTTGCAAAGGGTACGGTGGGTGAATGTTGCAGATGCTCGACGTTGCGTTCCAGATCTTGGTTAGCTAGTCTTCTTCGTCTGAAGACTGTACGACCTTCACGGGCTTCTTGGGAAAACGAGATGTCGCGGCTGTGCAAGCCTTAGATCGGCACACTCGGGCCAGGTGCCCTAATTCTCCACATTGGCGGCAGATACTCTGTTAACGACGACATACTTCGGTTGATAAATGCTGACTTCCACATCGATAACACGTAAAATGCAATTTGGACCATCTCGAGGTAACATCGATTCGGTTGACTGATTGGATTGTGTTTGTATGAGGTTTCGAGGAAAAAGCTGCTAAGTGTTTATGGACATTCTACAGCTGTCGAACAATATTGTAGCCCTTCTCCCAGCTCATCGCCGTCTCATCTTCAGACAGCAACCTTTCACGAGCCTGTTCGTTACGGATACCGGAAATCAAACACTGTAATGCCATGGCCTCTTCAAACTTCATAAGTGGGATTTCACTATACCGACCCTCTGCTGGGGCTTGCCGAATCCGCGCACTGAAATCAATGACACTTTCTTCAGGGTTTTGACGCAAGATCAAGAAAGAATACTGCGCAGTGTATGTGTTCAGTCGTGAACCCCATAACCCGCTGAGGACTTCTAGCGCGCTGTTGACTGTCTCCTTCTCACCGACATGGAGGGCATCAAAATGTCTTTGGCCTTCATCCCCCAGAAATTGTCTCAATAATTTAATTTTGTGGCTCTCTGAGAGTACCGTGTTTGGTTGCAAGACGGCTAGTAGCTCCAAATAATCCAAAAAGTGCGCTTTCAGCGGTTCCAGGTAGCCGGTGTTGGTTTCTCAGAAGGAATCTTCCAAAGTAGTGTAGGAAGGTGCAACATCGCAGTAGTTTAACCTCGTCGCCAGAATGTTAAGTATGGCCCTTAGCCGATAAACGGAACAGAACGCGCACGCGTAGTATGGAACCGATTTACTAAAAGCATCCTGCGTTACAGTGGTTAGAAAAGCCGGAAAGGAAAACCAATGAAATAAGGAAAGTAAGGCAAGATCATTCTCAACCAATCATGTGAGGGCCTGTGTTTACGAATCGATACTCAAGTGCATACGTGACAGTCTTTCTCCTTGACCAAGTTCACGTTGCAATGCATAGTAGAAAATAAAGCATAATAATATTATTTGCAGTTTCAATTTCGTTTGTTTCTTCTCCCTGAAACCTAACAGGATTGTATTCCGGCACGGTACTTGAGGTGTTTTTCACCACTAACTAATGTGTATACTGAGGATGAATGACGTGTAAGGTCAAAGGGGACGTAATAGGTGCGCAAGACCGATATTCGCAACGAGCCAACCAATACTAACGAGCTCATAGTGAGGTTATTCAAAATCGTGTAAGTCAAATGCTGCATCATGATCTCAACCCACTGAATTTTGGCAGGGTGACAAAAGGTATTTTGACATAGCTTAGTACCAAGAGGCGAGGGACTGTAGAAAATAAATCCACCTTCTGCCGTTCTCTCGTATAACTATGTGCGGTCAAATTGCTTTAGCCAGCAGTGGAGTCCTGCATTTTGGTATATGCAATCCCCATCACAATGAGTTGTAACTGAAGCACTTGTGTGTGTGTGATTGTCTAATATTAGATCACGTCACCCAAGTGATGATGTGAAGTGGGAAGAACCGCGAAAAATTTAACTAATATAAACAATGCGTTCATCAATTTGCCGACAAGCGGGCGGGTTGAAATATGATGATAGATATAAAATAGTAGAATTTGTGGTTAATGCATTTCCCCTCGGAACGTGTACCCGATCACACAAAATGTATTCGTTCAGTACGGATGCTTGTGTCATCAAATTTCCTACGTAGTGAAAATCGGCAGCAGTAGAAGTAGGGTAGGGGAAAGTAGGTTCCACAGGCATAAGTTTAATTTTATGGGTAATGATAACAAGAGGGTAAGCTGACTGTAGGCTTCTAGTAGTTCAAATGTTGTTTAGGCTAGCTTCCGCTAATGTTTCCGGAGACTGTTGTGAGCCAAGTGGCTTGGACGCTTCTGGTACAGTGAGGATAGTCTTTGGATAATTTCGGATGGTGGCATTGTTAGCACACGTGCGTACATGTAATAGCAGTCTGTTACACAGATTGGAATATTTCACTAAAATGGTCCATTGAATATTATGACTAGCAAGTTAGGAGGTTAACAAGTATTAGCCATTACGGTTGTAATATGACTCGGTTTTTCGAGGTTCAAATGTTGCACTCTCGGTTAAACTGCGCTTATGTGTAATGTCGAAGAGAAGCAGAAGATTGTTCTTCAATCTCCTCAATCAAAGGGGATTCATTCGGGGACGACGACGACAATCATATTAACTTAGGTTTGCGAACAGAATTGCAGCCCACCAGTAAGACGGGAAGTTATTTTCCGAATAGGCGGTTCGACATAATTGCTGACATAAGCCAAGACATCTATGATCCCCCGATTCGAAGAGAAATAGGATTGCTTACATCTTCGCCGATTTAGGCAATCTGTTATTGCAACATAATGTGCCAGCAAATAATCGGGGCTACCGGTAGTTCTAGTTAGTTAAATGTTGTATTGTCAAAGCTGAGAAACAACTCAGGCTATGTAGGCATTCCGGTAGTTAAGCCAACAAATCCCGTAGATTGAACGTGTCAGAATCGGGAATCAAACCAAACGATCTGGAAAGGTCAGCGTTTATAGCACCAACAATTTCAATCCAAATTCTTTATGAGCATAGGAAGATGATAGGTGACTGGTGTAGTTGGCTCACATAGACCAGAAAAGAAAAAAGAGGAATTTGTTAAAGCATGGAATTGCTCACCTAACATAATTGTGTACTGTTGTCCGTAGTTGTTCTTCTGTCTTGATCCGAACACCGGACAGCATGAGAACTTTGGGTAGCTGTCCAGATAAATCAGAAGCGATAACGGAGTATGAGGACCTCATGATAAATAACAATATAGCACCGAACATACTGATGGAGAACTAGAAGCCACGACTGCAAGGACTTCCCGCTACTGACTCAAAATAACAAGGCATGGAATTGGCAGGTTTTTATTACATGGACCGAAGGAATGCATCCGTAATGACCGGAGGAGCATAGAGCGCTTCCTGCTTCTCATGCTTTTGTGAGTAATATGACAGACTATGTGTTCGTGCAACGAATGTAGTACCAGTTTAGTTTCTCTGTAAATGCGATTTGTCAGATATGAATGCTGGTGGATTGTTAATAGGTTGATTGTTGGTAATACTAACTACAGGTGCATGCAGCAAGAGTAAAGATGAACAATGGTTTATTGCGTGTAAAAGAGCGGTTGCTTGCCAAGTCAGATAGGATGACCGGACTATGGACTCTAGAGCCTGGGGACGGTGTGAGGTATGTCCTAAGCGGGTGAGGTGAAGACTTACTCTGGAAAGTGCGGAAGAAGTGTTCCGCAAGCGCGTTGGCCGCCACTTGTGTAGTGAGTGCCGGACCGTCGGCTGCACGTAGAACTGAGATTCAGTGCTGCACACTGTGAAGTTTGTTGACGTGCGGGTACAGCTTTTTAGGATTAATGAGCAATGTTAGCAATTAAACTGAGCATGCAGGATTGAATGCTTCTACTACTGTCCAAATTAGTTACAAGTCGGCAACATCCCAGTTTTACACGGAATTATCGTGATTATTCCTTACTAGTTTACTAATTGCTTTCGAATCGAAGAGAGGTGATGACTCATGCTGACTGACTTCCCAGTTGTACTCGGAGCTAATTAAAAAATCATGGATGCAATGAATTGAGGCAAGTTGTGCAAAGTATAACACACCTATACTGCTGAAGTAACTTTGTAGAGTGCCAAGCTAAAGAAATATCTGGTCCGACAATTATTTACAATGGATTGCAATGATGTCGTTACCAGGAAGGGAAGTCTTTCTTGTGTCAGTATTTTTCGGTGTTCAAATTCAAGAACATTTATTGTTCTAATTACCATACGGCTACTCATAGGTTTTTCAGCGGTTCAAACCCCAAGCGAAGTTGAAACTGGAGAAAAAGCTTGTGGCGACAGGGATTGCTGGTAGCCAGAAAATTGCAATTTTATCTCGCAAGCAAACGGACGGAGCTCATCAGCTCCAGGGTCTTGCGTAACAGTCTCTGTTTGGTCGCCGTAAAATGTGCTGTGGAAGAGCCGAAACGGATCACAGAGAGAAACAAGCTCCAGCTTCCCAATTAGGCCAACTTAAGCAACCGAAATATATTCTCTATTCTTTCTAGTCATGGCCATATAAGAAGTGCATTTTGGGATTGTGCTCAGATAATACTGTGGTAGACCATCCACTTTCATTGACAAAAGGAGGTGCCCCAACTCGATGAGACAGTGCTGTTCCTCAAATTATGTTTACGTAAGCAGTAAACAGTTTACTCTTGGATAATGAAGGAAATGTGGGCGTGTGTGAAGACTTTATTGGAAAGTAATTAAACTGCTTGGTGTTTTATTTAGGACACGCCCATGTATTTGGTCTGGATCGAGGTCAGCTTTGTGCAAACTCGTATCATGGCGATACTACCTTGCGCGCGAACACTGTGATCATAATATAAGCGAGCAACAGACATCTTTTAAAAGATCGATCATGAATTTAAGTGAATAATTAATACATCTAAAACGTCACTTACCATACTAATCGGAGGCCGCGGCCTAAGCATGTGACACGGTTTCGAGATGTCTGTCGAGACGACACAAGTTGTTACCTGACCGACGGTAGCACGGCTGAGTCCCGCCGGAAGCCGATGAAATCAGATCACCATCATCGCACTGGTTGCTATGATGCGGAGGCGATCATAACTACAACCAGACAGATAAGGCCGCTGCTAGGGTAGAACCTGCCCAGACATGAGATGTGAGTCACCTCAGTGATAGACCGGCGAAGTAAGAGCACGTGACCTATAAAATTAGCTGTGTTCTGTTCCTACTACACTTCTGTCTAGCAGACCCTATGTATTGTTTTGTCCCCGGCTGCGTTGCCAGTGCAGAGAGCAGAAGTAAGGGCAGCGTTGCAACGGTTGCGACGATGTTTTCAATCGAACCCAGAAAAGGCAGTCAGATTGGAAGGATTGCAGGCACTTTGCCGTAACAGTAAATGCAGTACGAAAAGTCGCAGGCCAAGCTCATTGGGATGTTGACGCACTGAGATATGTGTTGTAAAGAACAATTGCCACCGTCGGCAAAACGGGGCGGTTGGAACACCTGATCTGTGAGAGTACTGTGTGTACAACGGCTACCACCGAAGCATCTACGCAATAAGCGGATTCCCGTCAGCGGCTTATATATTGATTGACGGCACCCGTATCCGGATTTGCCTGTCACTATGGCCTCGAAGGAGGCAGCCACAAGACGTCTGAGCCTACAGAGGGACCATAGGTGGCTTGCGCTGCACCACCCAAAGTCCCACCCACACACCTCATTTCCGGTGTAAACCCGAAAGAATAAGACCGGGAGGCATGTGGATGATGGCCACGTTTCATCAACAGATCCGGTCCACACTCTCTCAACAAACAGACAGAAGCATTCCGGCCTAATTGGAAAACCATGCACACCAGAAATACACAAAGCGTTGGCTGGGCAGTAGCCCGTACCACACAGGTTTCATGGAACCGCTCTTTGAGCCTAGCAGCGTCCGGAGAACGGTGCACCCCTTCCCCACCAGCAACGACCAACTGTCTCCTAGAGCCAGTATGGACGAGGTAGTGGGTAATAGACAGGTAGGCACCTTGCCAACATTCACATCAAGCGCAGCCACACAGGGGAGCTCAAGCAACATCTACTTCTTTAATGCACAAATACTCATGACGCAGGGAATGGCACCACATACCCGCTCTTGTTGGCATGGATTAATAAATCAAATAGGAGCGTACGCATCGCGCTTCTATTCCGCGTGTAATAGTGCCTTCTCCTGCAACTGGGCAACGACCCTCTTCATCAGCCCACGGAATTCGCACCGATCAAATTTGCCTTCGTTTTGCAACACCTGAAATCAAATTAGTTTCACATAAGCTCATCATCTTCATGTCCTGGTAATGTTATTTTCGGTTTGGACGAGTGGCGCTTACCTCCGCTAAGCTGGCCGTACAAAAGCTGTAAGACTACCCTCGTCGAATTCCTTCGGTATACATATGTACATGGACTGGAGTCCTCCGTGTCCAATGACAGTTCGAATGCAAAATATGCACATAACTTTGTCCGAAATTAAGCATGAACTGCCTCAGACTGGATGGAGACACATTAAACTCCTGAACAACAGTACTACAAACGTGTATGGATTTCGTTTGGAGGTCAGCTTAAGAGTTATTTTCACGTGCATGAGAATAAGTGGCCAATACGAACCGTTGCTGGTTTCTTTAACATTTATAAGTGAACGAAAACGACAGACTTAAATATTGGGCATCAACATTTGAAAGAAACCGGTATAGGAGTAGGGAATCAACTGCCATCTGTACTGTTACCAGGCAGAATGATAAATAAACAAGTGGTAAACAAGTGTGCACTTAGGTGTTGTCATTTATATGTACAGTTTGTTTTGCGTACCTGATGGGGAGGTCGCACAGCTTGCGAATGAGATGGAGTGTTTACTTCAGGCTCTCTGTGTCACCGATCGGTCCGGTCATCTGCTGCTCGAGGTACGTCCAGCTGCTCAAAGAACGATTGTTGCGCAAACTTACGCATTGACAGGTGGCAATACCACCTATTCGCCGTTTACGGCTGCGTTGGCACGAAAACTACCGCAGTACTGCATCAACTAAGCCCTGCTGTCCAATGTCAAACATGCGGCCTTTCAAACAGTGTTCGCATTGTTTTGAAAAATGCCCAAGACTTAGCCTGGCTGTCCTCCAAGTACCCAACCGTATGTGCATACCAATGTGTATTCTGCTGTGGACATAAGCTATTTGGTAACGATCTGCAACGTACTTTTAGAGTGCAGCCATTCGGTGTGCCTAAAACGATTGTCGCTATGCGTCGACTCATTTCAGATGTAATCTAATAAGATGCTGGCGTATCATTCCCGTTGGTCTTACCCTTTTAGTTTATCCAAAAGATCGGTCATGTTCAGTTCAAGTTCTGGTAGGCGGCTCTGATTTTCCGCCACCAATCCGCTTAGTAGTTTCATTTTCATTAGTGCCGGTACATTCAGTATGGCTGATGGACAACGGGAAATACAGCCATGCTCACTCTCATTACTAACCTGTGGAGCAAAACATGAACTGTCTACATCATGATAATCGTTAGTCGGTTACTTGTCGGGATTATTTACTTACGACAGAAGTTCCAGGGCAATTACTCTTCGGATGCATAGTCCAACCTGGTCACAGGAGGGACAACCGTTGAGCATTGTGTTCCAAATGGCAAAATTTGCAAGTTATGCGTACTGTAAGCGTCCAAGCGCTGGTGATTCAAGCGTAACCATCAAACTGGAAACCTACACAATAATTTGCCACCCTAGCATTGATCCGTATCAACAACACCATTCGCTCGGAAATCCCAGGCGCACGTCAAATACGAATGCGCTCATGAATGTACTGAACCATTATCCTGTGATGCACCGGCTCTCTAATCGTCGTGCAACTTATCATTGGGCAGCTGGTCAAGCTAGAGTCATGTAATCTTCAAATCGACTTCTAGCAGGTAGGTAGCAGGTAGGTAGCGTAGTTTGGTGCGAAATACCCTGGAGCTTACATAGTGATGTGAAACGCGGCCGAATAACAATACGAAGAGGAAGGTGCTGTAGCTCACCGTCTCGGCATGTCACCGTCCTAGATTCCACTTGAGAAGGTTGCAAGAATAGCATAGATCAAGATGGGTACAACAGTACAGTGGACAACACGTGAAGTCATCGAGAAATACAACCAAGTAAGCCCAATAAAGTAGGTTAG